AGAGGCTTGGCAAATTCTGGCTGCCAGCGCTGGGGAAGCCTCGTGTAGGTTCCTATTCCTCCACTCCCTGAAATCCAGGATAACAAAAACCACACTTACGTGTCTCTCTTAACTTTTCTAAGAACTTTCCAAACTTTCTCTCCCTAGATCCTGTTTTCCCTACAAGGCAAGCAGGATGATTAAGATGAACCCTTTTTGACCAAAGGAGACACGGAGACTAGAGAGGATGAGATGACTCACGGCTATTTACTGGGTGTGGAACCCACGGGACCTTCCCTGTGCCACACAGTCACCAGCATCACACATTCCATACCCCCCTGCAGGTGCCACAGTGCACTCCCAAAAGCCACTGCGGAAACATCTTTGCCCTTTTCATAGTTTCCCCTAACACTGAAGAACCTGGAGGTGCTCCACTTAGGGAGTGCACGGGGCAGCCGAGGGGATGCAGTCCCCTTCTGGGCAGCCTCTCCAGGTCTGGCCACAGAACCTGCCCTCGCTTCTCTTCCAAAGAATGAAGCCCCTCCCAAGCCTGCTGGACTCATAGGCTTTGTGATCAATTCTGTGTCCTGCAAGGGTTTTTCTTTATTGACATGAAAACCCCATGAAAAGATGCTTTGTCTGCATTTTCCCGTAGAGGTGATAGGCAGGTTCAAAGGGTAAAGGAAACTAGAAAAGACTGGGAAGGATGAGGACGGATGAGAAAAAGGTGTGCAGCCTGATGTGTGGGCAAGGACAGGTGTGTCTGGAGTTTGCTCCATATATGCCCACCTCTCGGTCCCTTGTGTGGACTTACTGCCTTGGCCCTACTCTGGCTTGAGATGACAATGCCCCCAAGGCCAACACTCCTCCTCTCTCCTGAATCCACAGGGCCGACACCATTGAGTCCATGCCTCTGTCTCCGTGCAGGCCCTTCCCTAAACTCCCCAGATGACGAGCCTGAACCCTGGCCTTCAAGATCTCCAGAGAAGGACATGTCTGGGTCTCTAGATTCAGATGGTTTCTGTCATCTTCCTTGGATCTAGCCAAAGTCTTTCTTCTGGATTTGTAAAAGATCTCTTCTTCAGAAGAGAAGATATCTGTGGAAGAGAGCAGGCATGGTGCCAACAGACAGGAAATGAAGTCACGATGCTGGTCATTTTCCTCTTCTCTTCCCTCTCTTCTCCCCCTCCTCCTTCCCCATCAGCCTGCTGCACCACCCTTGGGACTGCTTGTCAGATGTTTTCACTGTGATGAGCAATGCCTGCCTGTACAGTGCCTTTATGTGGTGTTGATTTTTGCCGTGAGCCTTCAGGCTTCTCCTTGTAGCCCTGACAAGGGAAATCCCATAATGAAGGATTTCACGGAGCTCTACAGGCTGGTGGAGGCTTTTCTTTCCATCTGTCATTTTACTTTAAGCCTTGACCTTTCTGTTCCCATGTGAGGCAGTACCAGGAAGGGGCTTGGGCTGGAGAGCAAACGTCTGGATTTGGACCCCGGATTGGGCTGCCAGTGAAGCAGAGAAGGTGGCCTAGGGTTTCCACAACATTAAAATAAGGAAGACAGTGCACATTGTAGGCGGTGCGATGGTGGGGGCGGCGCAAAGATGGGATATGGAGAGTTTAGATAAAGGAGAGCCCCTTTGCTTTAGAAGGAGGTCCTACATGGAAGTAGGAAGGCAGAATAGTGTAGGCATCCCCCTCTCTGGCCACCTCTGGCCACTGAGGGATTCCATTATTGCTGAAGAAAGCAGAGGCTTCAGAGTCCAAAATATCTGGGTTTGAAGATTGGCTCCACCACTTGCTGGAGAGCAGGAGCCACGTGGCAAACAGCCTTGCCAAGCAACCTTGGGCAAGCGGCTTATTTTCTCCAACTCTCAGTTTCCTCGTGTGAACGTTAGAGGTCTCAACGCGCATGTCACAGGTTGCTCTGAGGCTAGAACAGGATAATGGCAGGTGCTTGGCAGAGCACCTGCACACAGGTAACGCTTAATCAAGAGTGGCCACAAGTTTGTTTCAGATGAGGATAGAACCTCAACATAAACTGGAAGATAACAGAAACCAAAACGCCCAGCCTTGGCCTCTCTCGGCTGAGAGAACCCCCCAAAACTCTCCAGAGGGGCCTCAAAGCAGGACAAACAGCCAATAGGAAAGCAAGCTCGGGGCTTTGATGGCAGTAAAGGGCCATCTTCTGACCAACTTTCCCATGTCAGGTCGATAGGGAGACTGAGAAAAAAATTACAGTCTCCAAGGCTCCAAGACAAAATACCCACCCGGCACTGCTTTGAAAGGGCAAACCCTTCGAGATACACAAGGATTTTGATTGTTTGAAATGTTGGTAACATTTCATCTTCCCAGAGACCTTGTTCATTTATCAGGGTTCTTAAAACCCTTTTGTTCATAAGCTTGTGGTGAGGACAGAAAACATTCTATCTAATATCAGAGCACAGCTGTTCAGCGACAGAAAGACTTAGGGGAAAAGCCCTTCAAAAAAAAAGGAAGGGGGGAAAACACCAGGGCTATAAACATGGGAAAAGCGACTGTGGCTGAAAGAAGGCCTTGCAAGCAACAGCTGCCTCACAAGAATATGCTGTTTGGGGAAGTGTGAGAAAGAGAATCAGCACACTGACAGCAGGGCCTCTGCAAGGGCTGGGTAAACACTGGGACCAAGGCGAGGCCCCCAGAGCTGGGCTCCTCCTCTCTGTAGGGTTCCTGGCAGTTCTGCGCAAGGCCCCAACCAGGGCCCCTAAAAATGTTTGAAGTAGGTGTGGAGGCTTGAGTAACATCTTCTTAAGGGCCAGTGTGGCCGGAAAAAAAAAAAAAAAGACCTAGTGGAAAACTCTGTCCATCCAATGCCACAGAAGACCATGAAATATTTTCTAAAAAGGACTTTGACTGCTCCTGAAAGCACAAGACAGAGCGAGCAGAGTCAGGCCAAGGCAGGGACTGTGTGGCACTAGCCACCGGCTGAGTGAGGCCAGGACGGACAGTTCTGGGGTCTTGGATTCATTTTCAGCTCTGCATTTTTCAGTCGAGGGTCATGTTGATCTTCACGAATTCGAATAAAGGAACATCACATCCACATTTATGAAATGTCTGAATAGTAGCATTTTTAAAAATGTGGTTTTGTTTCACATTTCAAGGCAGATTCTAAAAGGGAATAAGGATAAAGTTGACAGAAGAAAATGTTCACCACTGTGAATTACAGTCACCTTGTTACGTGATATTAGCATGTGATAGCTATTGCAAGCGGGAGCTCTAGAATCAGAAAGACCTGGGCTTAAATGCTGGTGCTGGGTGACCTTGAAAAATGTGTCTACACCTCTGTGCCTAAGATTCCCCATCAGTGCAAGGAGAACCCAGGCATCTCCTCTACAGCGCTGTCATGATGGTTCCGTGAGCTTCTACGGAGGAAGTATCTAGAAGAGGGTTGGTCCTAGTGAGCTGCACAAAATTGAAGCTATAATTTTAATGAGATGGGAGTTATAATGAGATTTTGTTGCAGTAAAAAGAGCCAAGTCAGGAAGCGTGGGAGATCTGAGCTCGACCACTAATTAGATTCCATGCCACCTCCGGGCCTCAGTTTTCTCTGTTGGAGGCGAATGATACCTGTCTCCCTATCTGACATGAAAATTATGTCATTATGACATGAAAATTATGTGAGCCAGGTGTGGTGGCTCACGCCTGTAATCCCAGCACTTTGGGGGACCGAGGCAGGTGGATCACCTGAGGTCATGAGTTCGAGACCAGCCTGGCCAACATGGTGAAACCCTGTCTCTACTAAAAATACAAAAAAAAAAAAAAAAAAAAAAAAGGTGTGGTGGTGGGCACCTATAATCCCAGCTACTGGGAAGGTCAAGGCAGGAAAATTGCTTGAACTCAGGAGTCGGAGGTTGTAGTGAGCAGAGATTGTGCCACCGAACTCCAGCCTGGGTGACAGAGTGAGACTCCGCCTCAAAAAAAAAAAAAAAAAAGTTATGGTTAAAGAGACTTAGGAAGTATAAAGGCATTTATGAATGTGATCTACAGTTATTATAAAATCTCCTTATTACACAATTTATTTTCCCTCATTCAGCAAAATTCTAATGCAAGGACCCTGAATGATCAGCTCATAATTCTACCTGATAATCTTAATTCTAATAAACCAATTGCAGAGAGAGAGAGAGATGTAGTAAGAAAGACAATCAGTGAAATTTGGTGAAATTAAGGATGTTCACTCTTTTTAGTTGTGACAGTTGCACTGTGGACATACATGTATGTAGGAGAGGCTTCACACACTGTTACACACGGAGCAGCCACAGATGAAATGACATCATGTTTGGATTTGCCTTAAAGTCATCTGGGTGGGAGGGGGAACTGGGGTCAGGTGTAGAGAAAAATAGATTGGCCACGTGCTAATAATTGTAGAAGCTGGGTGAGGGAGCGTGGTAGTTATTTATATCTCCTACTTTTATGTTTGAAACGTTTCCCTAATGAAAGGAAAAAATAATAACAATGAAATCCAAAAGAGGGATCAATGATTAAACATCAGTGATGGCAGCTGAGGACCAGGTAGAGAGGCCTGACTGGGAGGGTCCGCTTCCCTGCATACCTCAGATGCAAACAAGATGCACAGTAAAGGGAAAGCTGGAAACTGGGCAGCCTGTTACACACACACACAAGACTGTGGGACGAAAACAAGTCACATAACCTCTCCAGGCCACAGTTTCTTCATCTTTAAAGTGAGAACGTGAGACTCAAATGCCCCTTTCAGTGTTAATGTAATAGGATTTTTAGGAATTTCAAGCAATCAGATATATCTTGCCAGATTTTCTGAATATAATAGATAAATCTCACTTTCAAGGAAATGAAACAATTTAAAATATACCCGGCAAAGAGCCGGGCACGGTGGCTCACACTTGTAATCCCAATGAATCGTGAGGCTGAGGCAGGCAGATTACTTGAGCCCAGGAGTTCAAGGCTGTCATAAGCTCTGATCGTATCTCACTGCATTCTAGCCTGGGCAACAGAGCAAGACCTCGACTCTAAAAAATCAAAATAAATTGACAAAATATACCAGAAATGTTCTTTATTAAAGAAGCACAGCAACAGAGAGTCTGGCTAAGTGCAAATCCTTTGGGAAGGGCCCACCTTCCTCCCCAGTGTATTTGTGGCTTTAGATTCGGCTGGTACAGTAAAAGATCCAACTGACCAAAACACTGAGTTTGCAGAAATTCTTCCAAACTTATTTTTACAAGTGGAATGTTACCTTAAGGAGAAAAAAAGTCCTTTATGTTTCTCTCGAAATCAGGTAATTTCTCTCAAAAACAGGAGTCTGCTTTCCCTTAGGAAGAGGCTAGAGCGAGGCACGCAGTCTTCTTGGTGACCTTGCAGGGTTCCTGCTTGAGGTGGCCGCAGGGCACCAGCTCTGTGTCCGGAACTAGAGAGGTAGACGGCACAGGTGGAGACCAGGAGGAGTCTGCCAGTTTTATGGAAGATTCTCCTGGAAGTGGGGGACAAAAGAAAGAGGGCCCATTAATAAAAGCTTCTGATTGGCTGCCTCAATTACAGGGCTTTCCTGCATCCTTCATTCCCAAATAGGCTTCTCACATGTCTCCTTGTTACCTTAAGGACTTGGAACATGGCCGGGCACGGTGGCTCACACCTGTAATCCCACTACTTTGGGAGGCCGAGGCGGGCAGATCACTTGAGGTCAGGAGTTCCAGACAAGCCTGGTCAACATGGTGAAACCCCGTCTCTAAAAAATACAAAAATTAGCCAGGCGTGGTGGTGCATGCCTGTAATCCCAGCTACTCAGGAGGCTGAGGCAGGAGAACTGCTTGAACCCCGGAGGCGGAGGTTATAGTGAGCTGAGATCATGCCACTGCACTCCAGCCTGGGCAACAGAGCGAGACTCTGTCTCAAAAAAAAAAAAAAAAAAAAAGACTTGGAACAAACTTTTCTAATATATGGCCTAAAAATCTCTCTCTCATTTCTTCTAAAAAGCACCTGATTTTGTCTACCAAGGATTCAACACTCTTTTGTCCTGTTAAGAGCACCCTGTCTCGCTGATCATTAAAAAAACCAACCTAGAAATGTCTTTGAACAGTCAGTGAAAGCCCACATTTTTTGAACAACTACTGTCTACAGACACTCACCAGGAGCTACGGGAGATAGAAGGGAGTAAGACAGACTCTGACTTCTTTTTGTTGAGAGACAAACCAGTGACAAATCAGATTTTGATGGCCGGGGTTCCAATATTGTGTTTGAGTACCAGCTCATCCCGTAGCCACTGAGTCCTTAGGCCCCTGTTTCCTTCTCTGTAATATGGTGATAAAAATAACAACAACTCGTGGGCTTCTTGGGAGAATTAAATGCGATAACCCCACAAAGCAGTTACACTGGTGGGTGGCACATGCTAACTGTTCAATAAATGTTGTCTGATCATCTGAGAAATGTACTCGCGCAAGAAGCCGCTAACACCAGGAGATGTCATACCAGCGAGGTCACATGATACCTAACACCCAAGGCCAAATGAATAGTAGAGAGGGTAGATTTGCTGCAGGAGAATAGGGTGTGAGTGTTAGTGGGGGCACCAGGACCAACTGGGCTAGCCTCCAGAGTGTCTGAGACTTCCATCACCCAAATGACTGGTCCGAGCCACAGCCCACCCAGGGATGAATGTGGACCAGCCTGGACCTCAGGGCACTTGGGCTTTCTGTCCCCCAAACAGAACTTGGAGTCTTATGGGTGTGGGGGAGGGCTGGTCAGGGAAGGATTCGCAGAGTGGAGTCACTGGCGCCAGGGGCTCAAAGATGGACAGGGTTCCCAAAGGTGAGAGGCAGAGATAATAAAGAGGCCAGCCTAAGCGCAGCCCATCTCCTCTCTCTAGAGGCCCCCTTCATGGTCACCTCTTCCAGGGTTGAACATGACGCACTGTCGGGAGTGGATTCCTCTCGCTCCCTGAAATTCCCCAGCTGCTGCTCAAACAGAAACCTACTTTTGCTTGCCTGGCTCTTGGGAGAGCTGTTGCCTGCATCCCCTCCCTACAAAGCAGCCCTTCTCAGAGCTGCGGGCTGAGGTCCCATCAGCCCTTCCCCGGGGCTTTCTCCTCTCCCGAGGACCACGTTCTGCTGCTCTCCTGGAAGCCACCACTCGCCTTTGTGCATGGCCCAGCACAGGGAAGCCAACCCTCGAGAGGACTTTGAGGTCTCACCTGGCAGGGACCCAGGCTTGTGGCAGCTGTGTAGTCGCTCTCTCCACCGCCTCCACCTTCCAGAGCTGTAGGGGACACAGCTGCCACTGGCACCCCTTCCCAGGTCAGCTCAGAAGCTTTATTCTCAGGACGCTGGCATTCCACTCTGGGCCATCGCAGGGGATTTCAAGTGAAAAACAAAACAAAACAAAAACTGAGGAATGTCTTCCTCGGTAAAACAGAAGCCCTGTCCAGCTCACTTACTAGCTGGGTGACCTGAGGAACATTATATGACCTTTCTGTGCTTCAGTTTACCAATCTATTAAACAAGGATAATAGTAATCTCTATTGTGCTTGTTTGGAGGAGTGAGTGAGTTGATATAACGGATGCGTTTAAAACAGTGCCTTTTAAAACATTAGGGAACTATTGGCATGTTGTTCTTTTATAGTGGTTACGGGCGAAGGGTACTAAATTAGGCAGACGGTGGAGACATCAATGAACCTCTCTGAGCTTCAGTTTCTTCATTTTCTTAAAATGAAGATAATGACAGTACCTACCCATTAGACTGTGGGAGGACCAAATGAGGTGATGCATGCTAGTGGTTTTATGTGAATGATTTAGCACAGTCCTTGGCATGTAGTAAACCAGAAAAAGGCTCACACCTTGAACGAACGAACGAACGAACGAACAAACGAACGAACGAAAGAAAGAAAGGAAAAGAAAAAAAGAAAGAAAAGAAAGAAAAAAGAAAGAAAGAAAGATCTTGAAAGAATAAAGGAAGGAAGGGAGGAAGAGAGAGACCAAGAGAGGGAGGAGAGGAGGGAGGGAGAAAGAAAGAAGGAGAGAAAGGGAGGGAGGGAGGAAGAAAGAGAGAAAGAAAGAAAGAAAGAGACAGAGAAAGAGAGAAAATAAAAGAATGGAAGAAAGGAAGAAGGAAGGAAGGGAGGGAGGAAGGAAGGAAAGAAGGAAGGAAGGAGGAGGAAGGAAGGAAGGAGGAGGAAGAGGAGGAAGGAAGGAGGAGGAAGGAAGGAGGAGGAAGGAAGGAAGGAGGAGGAAGGAAGGAGGAGGAAGGAAGGAAGGAAGGAAGAAGGAAAGAAGAGAGGGAGGAAGGAAGGAGGAGGAAGGAAGGAAGGAGGGGGAAGGAAGGAGAAGGAAGGAAGGAAGGAAGAAGGAAAGAAGAGAGGGAGGAAGGAAGGAAAGAAGGAAGGAAGGAAGGAGGAGGGAGGCAGGAAGGAAGGAAGGAAGGAAGGAAGGAAGGAAGAGAGGGAGGCAGTAAGAAAACCCCCTGAAAAAATAATGACCAGACTCATTAGAGATCTAAGACATGCAACCTAGCCTCCAAAATGCAGTCGGCTACAACAGTTCCTCCAGTCTGCAGCCTCCTCCAGAGTGGTGTCCATGCTGGGTTGTCCTCATGCCCTCTTACTGTTCCTGGTCTGGGTCTTGTACATCACAACCACTGAAGTAAACAAGCATCAGATGAACAGCATGTTCAAACATGTCTACTCAGCCCCCAGGAAAACAGTGGAGGAAAAAGAATCCTTTTAGAATTTTTCTCGATTTGTTCAACACACAGGGTTCCACCATCCAAGAGAGGGCTGTGTGGGGGTGGCACCAATGGCATGAAGCAGCCACTGGACTGTTGAGGGTAGTCGTGAGTGCCCAGGCTTTGGCTTTGGAGAGATTGTGGTTCAAGTCTTGATTCTGCCCATTTCTGACTGCAGGATTTGGGCAAGTTTATTAATCTTTTTAAGCCTCAGTTTCCCTCATCATAAAATGGAAATTGCAAAACTTACCTCATGAAGGAGCTGTGAGAATTAAATGAATTATTTGTAAGATACAGACAGTGTCTGGTAGAGGTAAGTGCTTCATCCATTTGGGCTGTGTCAACTCTGGGTTTCCCAAAAACTTGAAGACAGCAGGGCGTTCCGTACATTCAGTTGTAGGGAAAATCTTGTACCTTCTTAATTTTTCTGGTGGTGGGGCAGGAGAAGAGGGGTGTGGTCATGACCTGAGCCCCTGGAATGCTTCTGCCCAGCATCACTGAGCCGTGCCCACCCTGCTTCGGGGTCATTTTCCTCCTCTGACTGCCACTGTCATTCCCTTCACCATCAACACCCCCTCCTTCTGCAGAGATGGTGAACATTCTGGCATTGTTCCTTCCAGCCAATGACTTCTCTCTGGCCTGTGATTGGTACCCCCCAGATTCCAGCGCAATCCAGGCATCCCAGCTATGTCAGCGTGACTCACATCGTGTGTGCCTGACATCCACACGGCCCCGTAGAAGGCTGGCTCCAGCAAGAGGGTATGTGGAACGCTGCTGACTGTTTGATGGCTGTGAAGTTATCTTTTTTGGGGTCAGGCCATTAAAGTTGCATCTGATGTTTTATGGAACAAACCCAAGAGAAACTGCATGTTGAAATCCATGAGACATGAAGAAGATTTTTACAGATGAAGACACATCGGCAGCTAACGTTAGGTGGGTTTTTTTCCCCCTCAAAACTTTGTAGTTTTTCTTCCATGTGGCTATTTCAAAGCAGAAGCAATCCCCAACAGTGAAGCATAGAGGCTGCCATCGCAACAGGTTCGGTGAGGCCTGGAGCTGCCGGGGCACCTGGAAAGAACATGGGTCTGTCTCTCCGCTCTCATCAGCCCAACCAGAGTCGTCTGCTCCATTCCTAAATTCTCTACCCAACTCACCTCACAAACCCTGAAGAAACATCATTTTCTGTGCAAACCTAAATTCGTCCTGGGTGCTTTTTAGTGCATGCTCCCAACCCTCTCCATTCTCATGCTACTTGCAAGTGACCAAGGAGCCGGTCACTCCACCCAATTCCTGGCCTTCTGGGCACACTGTGCACCTTCCAACTTTTGTTCCCGGGTGTTGTCACCTTTGTCCAGAGCACCCTTCCTTTCCACTTCTGCCCACTGTTCATCCAAGCAAATGGTCCAAGAGGAGTCCACTCAAATAACAGGCATACTGCCAGGCAACGATACGATAAGAAAGATTAGCAGACCAAGCATCAGAGCCTTTTGACCCTTGAACCCAGGACTCAAGCACACCTCCTCCAGGCAGCCTTCTCAACCATCCCCTCGACTGAACCCCTCAGTCTCCCTCCTCCTGCACTCCTTTAACTTTTAGTTGACCCTTGTCTCCCTAAGTAAAAGCTATGTGTGTGTCTGCTCCCCTCCACACTGTAAGGCTGTTGAAGAGGGAGACCTCAAGATGCTCATTCTCGTTCTTGGACCACTTAATTAATAGAATCAGGACTTCGAGATCTTTCTCCTTCCACTGGCACTTGAATGCATAAAGAAGCAAGTGCGACAATGCTCATGGCACATGACGTATAAAAGCAAACAACTGGGGAAGGAGGGCCCCCAAATGCCCATTAACTGTGGGAAGCCGTACAATTCTGGCATATCCTTGCTATTGAAAACTGTTCTGGCCAGGCGCAGGCTCAAGCCTGCAATCCCAGCACTTTGGGAGGCCGAGGCGGGCAGATCACGAGGTCAGGAGATCGAGACCATCCTGGCTAACAAGGTGAAACCCTGTTTCCACCAAAAATACAAACAAAAAAAATTAGCCGGGCGTGGTGGCGGGCGCCTGTAGTCCCAGCTGCTTGGGCAGCTGAGGCAGGAGAATGGTGTGAACCTGGGAGGCGGAGGTTGCAGTGAGCCGAGATTGCGCCACTGCACTCCAGCCTGGGTGACAGAGCAAGACTCTGTCTCAAATGAAGAAGAAGAAGAAGGAGAAAGAGAGGAGGAGAAGGAGAAGAGAAGGAGAAGAAGAAAGAAGATAAAATAGGCCAGACACAATGGCTCACGCCTGTAATCCCAGCACTTTGGGAGGTCAAGGAGGGCAGATCACGAGGTCAGGAGATCGAGGCCATCACCAGCTAGCGTGGTGAAACCCTGTCTCTACTGAAAATACAAAAATTAGCCAGGCTTGGTGGTGGGCGCCTGTAGTCCCAGCTGCTTGGGCAGCTGAGGCAGAGAGAAGGTGAACCCGGGAGGTGGAGGTTGCAGTGAGCCGGGGGTGCGCCACTGCACTCCAGCCTGGGTGACAGAGCAAGACTCTGTCTCAAATGAAAGAAGAAGAAGAAAGAAGGAGAAAGAGGGGAGGAGAAGGAGAAGAAGGAAAGAAGAAAGAGAAGATAAAAATAGGCCAGACACAATGGCTCCGCCTGTAATCCCAGCACTTTGGGAGGTCAAGGAGGGGCAGATCACGAGGTCAGGGAGATCGAGGCCATCTGGCTAACGTGGTGAAACCCTGTCTCTACTGAAAATACAAAAATTCGCCAGGCTTGGTGAGGTGAGGCGCCTGTAGTCCCAGCTGCTCGGGGGGCTGAGGCAGGAGAAAGGTGTGAACCCGGGAGGTGGAGGTTGCAGTGAGCCGAGATCGCACCACTGCACTCCAGCCTGGGCGACAGAGCGAGATGTCTCAAAAAATAATAATAATAAAAATAAAATAAAAAATATAGTTCAGGTGCGGTGGCTCGCCTGTAATCCCAGCACTTTGGGGTCAAGGAGGGCAGATCACGAGGTCAGGAGGGTCAAGGAGGGCAGATCACGAGGTCAGGAGATTGAGACCATCCTGGCTAACATGGTGAAACCTCGTCTCTACTAAAAATACAAAAAATTAGCCAGGCGTGGTGGTGGGCGCCTGTAGTCCCAGTTACTCAGGAGGCTGAGGCCGGAAAATGGCGTGAACCCGGGAGGCAGAGCTTGCAGTGAGCCGAGATAGTGCCACTGCACTCCAGCCTGGGTGACAGAGCGAGACTCTGTCTCAAAAAACAAAAAATAAAAATAAAAAAGAAAGAAAGAAAAAGAAAAGCATTCTGCACTTACAATGAATGAAGTAGATCTATATGTACTGGCATGGAAAGACTCCAAGAGATTATTATTAACTGAAAAAAATCAAGTCACAGAACAATATGTCTGGCACGATCCTATTTAGGTTTTTAAACTGTTATGTTCCAAAAAGAAAACCACAAAGATCTCTCGGATGTGACTGGGAAAATGGTGAGTTATCTGAAAACGTCGGGAAAGTAAGAAATCATAAAAAATGAACCACACCTACCATACACATTTGATTTCAAGTTAACGTACATTGATTTACCAATCTCTGGATAGCAGTCCAAAGCTTTTCCAGTCTGGGTCTGTTGATTAGAGCTGCACACCGTTTCACTTGTGTAAGCCATACTCAGAATGCATTGTCTAAGACTTCTAATTTCATTTTCTTTGAGGTGGAAATGAGAAAAAGTTACGGATATGGTCATTTGAGCGCAGGATCCTAAATTACGCTATGTAGAGGCTGTGTGATCTATATAAGTTACATAGCATTGTTGAGCATAAATTTCCAATCTGCAACACAGGGCATTAATAATATACCCACGGGTAAATGATAGGAAAAAGGACGATCCGGTGTGTACAATGCCTGGTGCTCAATAAGGGTGAGCTAATCTACTAAGTATTTTACTTTCCTCTCATTATAGGGGGTAAGAAGACAAAGCAGCAGCAGGCCATCACCCTACCTGGGACTCTGGCCACTTCCTCTTTCTGCCTTAAAGATGCTCAAAGTCTGGGCCGGGCACAGTGGCGCAAGGCTGTAATCCCAGCACCTTGGGAGGCCGAGGTGGGCAGATCACCTGAGGTGAGAACTTCGAGACCAGCCTGGCCAACACGGTGAAACCCCAGTCTCTACTAAACATACAAAAATTAGCTGGCGTGCTGGCGCATGCCTGTAGTCCCAGGTACTCGGGAGACTGAGGCAGGAGAATGGCTTGAACCCGGGAGGTGGAGGTTGCAGTGAGCCAAGATTGCACCATTGCAATCCAGCCTGGGCAACAGAGCGTGACTCCGTCTCAAAAAAAAAAAAAAAAAAAGCTCAAAATCCATAGATACCAGTGGGAAATTAGTATCCAACATGAAGTGTGAATGGACGAGAACCTGCTATGTGCCAGATCTGTACTGGGTGGATGGCAGCATATACTGCCCAGTAAGTTCATCTTAGTTCATTTTGGTTCCAAAGGACATTATGATCCAATGATGAAGGTTTGATATACATGGGAAGATAACAATAATAATATACAGCATCAATGAGGATATCAAGGACATTTTCAGTTACAGATGATTTTAAAAACTAACAAATTAGCTTAAATACCAATTTAATTTTTGAAACAGGGTTTTGCATGTTGCCTAGGCTGGAGTTAACATAATCATAGTGCACTATATACCTTCAAACTCCTGGCCTTAAGCAATCCTCCTGCTTCAACCTCCTGAGTAGGTGGGACTACAGGTGCGCGCCACCTCACCTGACTTAAAAGTATGCATTTCTATTTATTGTTTTAGAGACAAGGTCTCACTATGTTGCCCAGGCGGGACTCAAACTCCTGAGCTCAAGAGATCCTCCTACCTCAGCCTCTTGAGTAGCTGGGACCACAGGCAACCACAGGCATGCACCACCGTGCTTGGCTCCCCAAATTTTTAATTGGCTCAAGCAACGAAAATTCTGAAGGTCAATGGGACTTCAGGAGATATCTGATCAAGCCTCTGGTTCTAGTTCCTTTGCTTTTCTCAGTTCTTTCTTACTACATGTGCCAGCTTTGTCCTCAAGCTGACTTCTCTCTAGTTAAAACAAAAACAAACAAACAAGCAAAAACACTCTAGCAATTCCAATTCCAAGCCTCATACCTGAGACCACATCCTCTGCATTCTGCAAGCCACTCTAAACTAGTCAAGTTCATTTACCCAACTCTGACTCAGTCACTCTGCAAGATGGGATTATGTTGATTATTTTGGGCCAATCAGGGATTACCCCAAGATCTGGTGAAGGAGTCAATTTAATGTGTGCTTCTTTCATGTGTCAGGCACTGTGCTACTTGCCTTTACATGGATTATCACATTTATCCTCGTAATAACCCTATAAAGTAAGTGCTACTAGCAGTTCCAGATTATAGTTGAAGAAACTGAGGCCCAGAGAAATTAAGTAACTTTTCTGTGGTCGCACAGCCAATAAGTGGTAGAGCCAGGATTCATACTTTGGCCCTCTGTCTCCAGACCCCACATTCATAACCACTAGACCACAAAGTCTGCCAAGGGAGAAGTTCCAAGGTGATGCCTGATGTGCTGTGCAAACATCACTCTCTGGGTAAATTGGGAGGGAGGAGCACTTGGCCTGGTGTGATGATGACAGGTTAGGGCTTGAGCTAGGTCTTAAGCAAGGGTGGGAAAGTAAGATCAAGTGAACCTTCAGAGATGGGAATCATGTAGCAGAAATAACAAACACAGTGGGATCAGACAGACTGTCAAGTTTGCTGCTAATAGCTGAGTGAACTTTGTCAAATTATTCACTTCTCTGAGCTCACAGGTGAAATAAGAAGCCATGAGAGTGAATCAAAGGCCCATGGGAAAATCTAAAGTGAGAAGTGGGCTGAGAATATGATCCTGGAAACCCTGAACAGGACCAGTAAAAGTCAAGCCAAGTCCTACGGGAAAATGGAAAGTCCCTTGGAAGGGTACACATACAAAGGATTCGCTACAGTGACAAATCTAGAGAAATTATTCTAATCTTCCTTACCATTTCCTGCCAGCCCAGGAAACAAGGAAGAGGAAGACAAAGATGAAGCCTCAGGCGTTGTAAGACTACACTTTACAATCACCCAGTTCCGGAGCTGGATAGGACAACAGACAACCTGCTTATTGCACAGATAAGAAAGGAGACACATTTTGAACACTTACATGAAGAGGCATACAGGTAAAGTGCCAGGCACAGTGCCTCATAAACAGCAAGTACTCAATAGACAGTGTAAAATATTATTGGTGAATAATAATAGTTACTATTTTCATAAGTGACTTATCCAAGACCTCAGAAGTTGATTAGTGACCAAAAAAGATAAGAATCCATGTCTTTTAATGTCTAGTGCAGTTTCTTCATCACTCTGAGCTTTTTTCTCTGATGAAGGATGCCAGATACCACTGTAAGAAGGGAGAAGAAATAGCAACCTAACGTAGGAAAAACTATCAAAGACGGAAAATGTTGGAATAAGCATTGAACAAGTAGTTTGGAAACCAAGATTATGAATCTTGGTCTGCCATTAACTGGCTCAATGACTTAACCAGCTCAGGCCCCGGTTTACTCATCTATAATGGTAGAGATTTGAATAAGATCATCTCTGTTTCCTTCCAACTCTGAAATTCTATGAAAGCAGGTTCCTCTCTTAACATTTCAGTAGTCTTCTTTATAAAAGATGTAAATACATTCTAGGAAAAACAATGTATAGGGGCAAGGTCACATAAAAAATTGAAAGTAAGAAAAGGCATGAGAGTTGGCTTCAAATATCTGAAAAACCTTCTAGTCATATATGTGTTAGATATATGTTGTGTGAGGCTCCAGACAACAGAAATAAGAGTAAAAGCAACACAGAGGCAAGTTTCTGCTCAATACAAAACAGATTTTTTTCCATGTATTTTGGAACACTGCTATTAGGTGCATATATGTTCATAATTGTTAGGTGTT